CTGTGTGTGCTGGACTCTCCTCTGTGTGTGCTGGACTCTCCTCTGTGTGTGTGTGTGTGCTGGACTCTCCTCTCTGTGTGTGCTGGACTCTCCTGTGTGTGCTGGACTCTCCTCTGTGTGTGTGTGTGTGTGCTGGACTCTCCTCTCTGTGTGTGCTAGACTCTCCTGTGTGTGTGCTGGACTCTCCTCCGTGTGTGTGTGTGTGTGTGCTGGACTCTCCTGTGTGTGCTGGACTCTCCTGTGTGTGCTGGACTCTCCTCTGTGTGTGCTGGACTCTCCTGTGTGTGTGTGCTAGACTCTCCTTTCTGTGTGTGCTGGACTCTCCTCTCTGAAGCTCTGCACCATGCGGACAGTGCCCTGGGAGCCTTCGGTGCTGTCTGCTCTCCACTGTGGTGGCTGGCCTTTTGGTGGGCATTGCTTCGGTGCTGTCCGCTCTCCGCTGTGGTGGCTGGCCTGTTGGTGGGCATTGCTTCGGTGCTGTCCGCTCTCCGCTGTGGTGGCTGGCCTGTTGGTGGGCATTGCTTCGGTGCTGTCCACTCTCCGCTGTGGTGGCTGGCCTGTTGGTGGGCATTGCTTCGGTGCTGTCCGCTCTCCGCTGTGGTGGCTGGCCTGTTGGTGGGCATTGCTTCGGTGCTGTCCACTCTCCGCTGTGGTGGCTGGCCTGTTGGCGGGCATTGCTTCGGTGCTGTCCGCTCTCCGCTGTGGTGGCTGGCCTGTTGGCGGGCATTGCTTTGGTGCTGTCCGCTCTCTGCTGTGGTGGCTGGCCTGTTGGCGGGCATTGCTTGCCCCAGCTTTTCCCTTGTCCTCGGTGGAAGGATTGGTGCGAACCACGCGGCCACCTTTGTGGGCCTCGAATCTGCCCACGTGTGTCTGTGGGAGAAGCCCTCACTTTGCATTTCACGCAGGAAGGACCACTGTGTGTCACGGGGGTCTCAGCGGGTGACTTGGTTTGGGTCGAGGTGTGCCTGTGCCTGTGGCCGAGCCAACCGGGCGCGGGGTCCCGCTGAGGCTGAGGCTGAGGAGCACAGGGAGCGGGGCACGGCCCACTGGCCTGGCCGGCACCGGGGGCTCTGCCGGAGCCGCCTCCTCGGAACCGTCCGGGTGAGCCGCAGGGCCAGGTGCCCAGGACCATTCCCAGCCAGCTCTCCCCTGGGATGCGGCCTGGCCTGGAAGAGAAGGTTGTGGGCTCCTGAAAGTGGGCTGATTCTGCATTCTCTGCCACACACGCACGCGCGCGCGCACACACACACACACACACACCCGTGTCCCCAAATCTTAATTGTGGTAAACCACAACCACCAGCATGAAAGCAGAACTTGCACTTGGTGATGTGGCATTGGCAGCGCCCAGCGAGACACGGGCCAAAGCCAGGTGCCACCGCATGGGCGGCTCCCCGGCTCGGTCCTGGCCTCAGCCCTCCCAGCTCACCGGAGCCCGGACCTCGGGAGCGGCAGCTCGGCTCCCCGGCTCGGTCCTGGCCTCGGCCCTCCCAGCTCACCGGAGCCCGGACCTCGGGAGCGGCAGCTCGGCTCCAGCCCGCCTCACACGCAGCCCACCCCACAGCCCTGCTTCCTGGCTACGTCCTTCCCACAGACGTCAAAAGCATCTCTAAACCAGGTGGCTGAGATCTGTGGATCACGGTTCAGTGCTGGCCCAGGCAGACCAAAACAGCCAGACGTGGAGCTGTGACACACGCTGGAACACTAGCCTTGAGCACAATAAAAATAAGTAAATAAGTAAATTTTCAAAAGCCGCTCTCTGTGCTGCATCTTGATGGTGTCCCTTGGTCCCTAGGGGCTCCACGGCCTGGGCCTTGCATGGACAATGTGGGTAGGCCCCGACAGCCCGGCCTCCGTCCCGCGGGTCTGCTGGGGCCACGCACAGGGGTGTGGTCCAGAGCACCCCCTCTGTCAGCCCGGCTGCACGTGGCATCCTGGCGTTGTGCCGGGGCCACGGACGTTGCCGCAGCCATTCCAAGTGCCTGCTAATAGTTTGAGTATTTTTGTGGGGTTTGAACATGGGGTCTCAAGCTTGCTGGACAAGCACTCAGCTGAGTAAGCCAATGCTTTCTTTTTAATAGTCTCTCTGTTTGCCTGGGCTAGCCCAGCATCATGGCATACCAAAATATTCCCGTTGTGATAGGAGTGAACCACCACACCCCGTTTAACAGTTGAGATAGGGTTTTACAAACGTTTTGCTCAGGTTAACCTCAGACATGGGCCCCCTGATCTCAGCCTCCTGAGATACCAGCCAGGGCGCTCACAGTTGGATTGATTGATTCTGGCGTGCACAGAATCCGTGTGTGCTGACGTGCACAGAGTTCATGTGTGTGGAAGGGGGGGGGGTATTTTGGCTTCCTCGGGCAGCAGGATCTCCTGGTTGGAGGAGGTGAGAGGCATCTGCAGGTGGCTCAGCACCTGCACCGGTGGGCTCTGGCAGCAGCCTGCAACCCCGGTTTGCACTCACTTTCCCCCCAATCTCAGGTGGGATGGGCAGGCGGGGGCAGAGGCCCCGTGTCTCTCAGCTGCCACAACCCTGTCCGTGCTGGCCAGGGTGCCAGGGGCTAAGTGTCTGGGCCAGGGCAGTGGAGGCTGGGATGGAGCTGGAGGCTGAGATGGAGCTGGAGGCTGGGATGGAGCTGGAGGCTGGGACAGAGCTGGAGGCTGGGACAGAGCTGGAGCTGGAGGCTGGGACGGAGCTGGAGGCTGAGACGGAGCTGGAGGCTGGGACAGAGCTGGAGGCTGGGACGGAGCTGGAGGCTGGGATGGAGCTGGAGGCTGGGACGGAGCTGGAGGCTGGGATGGAGCTGGAGGCTGGGACGGAGCTGGAGGCTGGAGGCCGGGACGGAGCTGGAGCTGGAGGCCGGGACGGAGCTGGAGCTGGAGGCTGGGACGGAGCTGGAGGCCGGGACGGAGCTGGAGCTGGAGACCAGCTGGCCAAAGGGATTATCTGATGGAGCACTTCCTCCATGGCACCAATATGCACGTGCGAAACAATGCCAGGCTTCCTGTCCGCTCGGAGACGACATGGACAATGGGAAGCCTGAGTCACGGCGTTTCCATTCCTGAGGCCCAGTCCTGGAAATGGAGGGAGGGAGAGTGGTTTGCTGGTGACCTGACCGGCAGGTGGGGGCTGGAGGCGGCCAGCCTGGGGGTACCACCCGGGAGGGACCGCCCACCGCCCGTGGCCCGCACACACGGCCACAGATAAACGTTTCTCTGATAGAAGGACTTCTGACGTCCCCGGAGTTCACGCTGGCTCCGCCCGGACTCCACCAGGAGTCGACGGGGCTGAAGCCCCTGCTTCACCTCAGTCTCTCCCGGCAAGTCTTTGCCTTCCCCGTCTTCCCAGCTTTCTGGAGGAGAAAGGGTAAAGTTGTACACTCAAAGAGCTGCCCCAGCCCTTCCTGCCCAGGGCCTTTTAGGGAGAGCCTCAGTCCCCCTCTGCCTGGACCAGGCCCCTTCCCTCCGAGCACGAGTGAACGAAGGGCCGGGCGCGGCTCAGGGGCCCAGCCTGTGGCCTGCGCCAGCCTCGGTTTCACCCCCAGCCAGAAAGGGCCAGGCTATTGTCCTTTAAAAGATCAAATATGGCACGCCTTCAGGGAAGAAGGATTGTTCATTTCATGGCTGGTGCAGAGATCCATGACATTCCAAACATTACCTGTCGATCGAGCCGCAGCCGGTTATCAGCTGAGCTTCAGTGGGAGCCTCTCCAGGCTGGCCTGGGCGGAGGCTGGCCGCTGCCCCTGAAACCCGTCAGACCGAGGCCCTGGTCCCTCCCAATGATGCTTCCGGGTTCGTCCACCGTGGACACGGGCATTGACCCTCGTCCTTGCAGAGCTCCGGGTCCTGCATGGAGCCGGAGGAGGGGCCAGCGTGCTTTCATGCCCTCCCCCCGGCGGGTCCCGGGGCCCCGCGCACACTCACTCTGAAGACCCATGCGTTCAGAGATGCCTGCTACACAGCCATTCTGGAATACACCGCGGCGTACACTGTGCCCGGGCCTGCCCAGGTGGCCGTGGCCCCGCGGCGGGGCCTCTACGTGGCCGCGCCGTCTGCCCATTGTCCTGGGCTGGCTCAGGAAGGACGCTCTGCCCCGCTGGCTCTGGTGGTTCATTGTCAGGAGGAGCTCAGAGCTGGCGCCCACACTTGCTGTTCAGTCTGAGAAAGGGGGCCAGCTTCTGGCTCAGGGTTCCCGGGAGGACCCTGCCTGCCCCGGCCAGCCCCCCACTCGGCAAAGCTCAGCCCTGCGGGGCCAGAGCCCGCGGCTCAGCAGTTGGAGCGGCAGTCAGGCTCGGGGACCCAGCACGCCCCAGATGTGACCCCGCGGAGCTGAAGAGGGAGTTCGCTGCCCGGATGCCAGGCCGCCATGCAGCAATGGTCTCCTTGCTAGAAACGCCTGCAATCCATGTCCAAGGGGAGACGGCGGACTGCAGGGCCGGCAGCCGCAGCCAGGCTTCCCGGGAGGACTGCCCACCGGCGCGGGCACCCGCCACAGGTGGGTCCACGTGCACAGGGCGGGCTGGGGGTCCTCGGGCCCAGCTCCCCAGCGACCAGTGTGCCCACGCCCCTCCAGTGGGGAGGCAGAGGAGGGTTGGGGGTGTGCTGGGGCCTGTGGTGCAGGCCTAGCCTCCTTTCATGGATGGCCTACAGAGGCCACCCAGCCCTCCACCTTCCCTGCACAGCCATGGCTGACCCTGCCACACGCAGCCAGCGAGCTCCACTTCACTGACAGATGAGCTCAGCTCCCTGGCTCTGATGGGCCCAGGCCCCTGCCCGACGTCCACTCTCCTCCCCGACGGACTCCGGCCTCCACCTGACGTCCACTCTGCTCCCTGAGCGCAGGCGCCTGCCGGCCTTCTCCTGCCCCTGCCTCCCACTGGAGGGCTGTGGCTGCCCCTGCTGGACGGCGGGAGCATTATCACGAGGCCCTGGGCCCAGGCTCTTCTGGCGTCCCCTGACTGACAGAGCTGCCCTTTGTGGAGGGGGAGATTAGAGGCGCCCGGATGACAGGGACGCTGGCCCTGTGCACGGCGGAGCTGCGCGGAGTCCTGACGGGCCTGGAGGGGGTCCAGCAGGGGAAGGGGGGCCTCACACACAAAGGCCAGGCCTGTCTTCACACCTGCGAGAGCCGGGCGGCAGCAGGCGGGGCTGTGGGGGATGAATAATTCTCTCTGAAAGAGGCTTGTCACGGGAGACAGCTGGCCAGACACGTCAAATAAAGGCAGGCAGTGCGGTGACAGGGGACATTCTCTGCACCGGTGTGCTGCTGCGATGCGCCGGGCGCTTCCAAGCTATTTTATTAAAAAGAGAAGGGGGGGGATACCGCCGCAGAAGCGAGATGAGGCTCGGCCCCGAGAAAGGCCAGGCCCTGACGCCTGGCTCCAGCCTTTACCTGTGCCAGGAAGAGCCGCCCTCTGGACATTCCTAAGACCCCAGTCTGAGCCCGCAGCCCCTCCGGCCACCCACACCCACCCCTGGCCGGGACCCCTGCCCAAGTCCAGCCCAGACTTCCAGAACCATCTGGGATGCCTGTGGCTTGTGGGAACGCCCGGCCACCTCACTTTCCTCTCCTCGCCCCGCGCTCTCCTCTTCCCCCCCTTGCTCGGGGCCCCAGTGGGCATCTTTCCTGTGGACATAGCTATGCCTCCCCGAGCCAATGCCCGGAGCACAGGAGGCCCTGCCCAGCCCCTG